AAGCGTGTGGGAACCATGAGTATACATGATGCTTCTCAAGATCTGGCTCTTAGCAGCTTTTGTATTCCTTTGTGTTTAGCAGCAGTAAGCAGCAGGTAGTGGCAGTAAGGAGCAGCATCAAGTGTACATTGTAGGTCGTAGTGTTTCTGTAGGCCTTGAACATAAGGACCCCTAGATCTTGTATAAGCTTAGACTAGTAGGACCTTTATGTTTTCTGACTTGGGTCATATATGAAATGGTTGCAGACTGATATTGAAGTCCTCAGAACACTACTGGATCAAGAGGAAATTAAAGAAAAGCACAGAAGTTGTGATTTAAAGCCATTGACACCTGCGGCTATCTAAGTTTCTCTTTTGTAGGCTTTAGATGCTATGTGGGTGTAAAGCCTAGGTATAGTAGGACATTGGTGCAGTCACAGAGAGGTTTGAGAATGACCTAAATCAGAGATCAGAGAGTCAAAACTATATTGAATATGTCAGGTTTGGTGATCCATGCCTTCAAACCCAGCACTGGGGTTTTAGAGTTTAAGACCATCCTGGTCTATATCATGAGTTTCCAGGCAGACAGAATTATACGATAAAATCAGTCTCAAAAAACAAACCAAACATGACAAGAATGACCTTTATTCATCTCGTTTCAACTTTGCATTGTCATTTCATGTCATAATCATTTCAGAACACAGCACACAAATCACTGTCCCTGAACTATGTGGTTCAGCCCAGTGCCCCTCAAATCACTTGGTGCAGGAGATATATTTGTTAAATGTAGCAAAAGCATGTTTAAAATATATTTTTTCTTTATCTTTAGGGAGTAGCTAAATATTTGGAGAATTGTCTTGTCTCACAGACATCTCAGGTGTAGCAAAAGCATGTTTAAAATGTATTTTTTCTTGACTTTAGGGAGTGGTTAAATATTTGGAGAATTGTCCTGTCTCACAGACATCTCAGGTCAAAAGGAAGTCAGCAATCATGGATTAGCAATAGAAGTTTAGTCAGGGTAAACTTACACACAAGGTGATCTTGGGATTCATCACAGGAAATCACAACCATGACAAACCTGGCAAGATCTGCCCAGGTATAAAATAGTTGCATGAATATCACAAGTGAAACCAGATACCTTCTTCTTAAATTTAAGGCCCACATACGCACATGCATACATACATACATATTTGCATAGTATGTTATATAACAAAAACTATTCTATCAGATAAAATTCTATCAGATTGAAAATGAGTATAATCTTGGAGGTGCTGGAGAGAAAAAAATGATGAAGTGGTGTCATTGTATCTTATTTAAAATATATTTTAAAATTATAAAGTGAAAAAATAGTTATGAAACTGTAATAATATTGCAATCTATTTTAGATCTTTAGTTTCTTATTACATATTTTGTAAGATAAAGATCCAGTATTACCTATCTGTATCCATGCAGGCTACTCAGGTGATAGAGACAGGCCTGTCTCCATGAGTTTGAGGCCAGCCTGGTCTACATAATGAGTTTCAGGTCAGGCAGTGTTATGCAGTCAGATCATGCTACAAAAACCAAACAAACAAACAAAAAGAACTCATAGCAAGAACACGATTCAGGCTGCTTTCACTCTACATGACCTTCCCTACGTTTCCATAGTTCTCCATTCTTCCCTCATGAAAGAATGTCAAGTTTTCTTGCAATAATGTTCTACTTCTTTACTACATCCCTGTTGATTTTTCTCTGTTCCACTAACCTGATGCCTCTGTATTTATAGTAGTTCTTCATTGATACCTAGTGCAGCTGGCATGTCCTAAATAGCCTCTCCATTTTCTTTAAGTCTCTTTTCTCTTGGTCTTTTATATCAGTCTGTGGGTTATAAGATAATTCCTCCAAAATGTGTTAGAGTTTCTCTTTAAAAACTTTTATTTTTCCATTACTTGAGAGCTGTGGGTGACTGTTCCACGCCACAGGGCCAGCATCACCACCCACCTCCCATGAGTTCTATATTGTCCTAGGGGTTGAACACAAGACGCACACAACACAGATAGAGAGTTCGAGCCATCCTCAAGAAGAGAATGCCCCATTTATTCAACTTAATCCAGGGTTAAATACTTTTTGACCCCAGTAAGGGAAAAACCTCTCAGCCAGGTGTGAGATTGCTGTGATGAGCTGCTTGCACCAGTGGCAGGAGCTGCCAGGCATGGGGTGTTGAGCTGGGAACCCTGACAGACAGATAGGAGCAGATTCAGGGCACCTGTGAGGACCCTCCTTAGCAGGTGAAATTACCATATCAAGACAGAAACAAGGTTCTGAACTAATCCCCTCTGGCTGGCAGAGCAGGGGAAGCTAAGCTGGTTAGTGTAAGTATTTCTTGCATCCTTTGCTTTGGCCTCGAGGAACAGGGAAGACAGGGACTCACAGAGGGCCAGTTTTAGGATCACAGCAAATAGAGTGCTACGAATTGGGGATCCCAGGGTCTCCCCCTGAACTTGTCACAGGTTTTCACCAGTCATATCTTGCACCACAGTCATGTTTTTGCTGTCACCTCTAATGTTTTGCATGGCCTTTACATATTGTGAGAATGCCATCCTATTCATCTTAGTGATTAATAAAATCCAAAGTGTCACATATGTTTGCATTTACATAAGAATAACTCTCTCAGTACTTAAAATATTTCTCTTTGATGATTTTAAAAATTTATTCCTAAACTATTAGTATTTCTTTTATGAATGGAGTGCCTCTGTTTTGTGAGTATATATTTAGGATTGCAGTGTTTACTGATCATTTCTTTCTCTATTGATTTTTTAAAGCCCCTGTTGTTGAAAACATGACATAAATGGATCATCAAACATAGAGAAACAAGTTGGTTTTGATCTGGAAGCTTCATCTTCACTGGTTAGCTTTCAGAGTGCTAGAAGGTGACATGCATGTATGCTATCAGAGGACAAAAGTAAACATCAGTTTTATGGAGTTATGAGCCTCACAAGCATCAACCATAGCAAGCCTAGAAATATATGCCCAGAGGTACAATAGTGGCATGAATATCATTGGAGTGACCAACTGCTTTCTTCTTAGATTTAAGTCCCACTTTACAAGATAGAATCCACACATGGTATTATTACCTAGACCAAGAATATTGGGCTAACCAAGTCATAGACCAGAGGGAAGAGTTGACTTCTATTACTCTGCCAAAGTGATATTATATTAAAGTGACTACTAGTGACTTCTCATTACTATGGTAATCAAAACAAAGATTTACAACTGGTCAAGGTGTAGAGAATAAGAGACTGTGCAGTGCTCAGCCCAAAACTCAACATCTATAAGGCAAACCCTCTTCCCACATGTTGGAGAGCATTGTAGGAGATCAGCTTCATGCCAAACACCATGGCCAGCAGAGTGTCAATGCAGGGGAGGTAAGGAGATTTGGTTCAATAAGACCCAGTGGCCTGTGTTGTTTCAAATTAGTGTCTCATATGAGGTTGTTTATTTAAGCATATTTAAGCACAGCACAGCTTGGAAAAAAATTCCTGCTGATAATTAACTTAATCCTGTTTCACAATAAAGATTAAGCCATGGCAACATCTAGAATCTGATAAAGTACAAGTGATATATTCCATAAGAATGAGTTCTACAGATTAACTAAGAAGGCAGACTCAAAGTTAACAATGTTCATGATGAAGTTTCAGGAAAGCCAGTGCTATAGATTTACTGAGATCAATGTAAGAGCCTGGGTGAGCCGGTAATGTCTGGCCATATGAAAAGTGCAGAAGTCACCAGGCTATTAACCACACCCATTTTGAATCTTCTGGGCAGAACACAGATTATGTATCTCTTCCTTTAAAAAGACAATCTAATCATGTGTGTTTAACGTTCCTCATTTCCCTAGTGCTTGTCTGTGAATACAGGTACTTACATGCTTCCTGCAGTCTGGTAGAGCATAGTAGCTAAAGCAGATGAGTATAGGAAACAAAGTTTATGGATAGAACAGGGAAGTTGCACATATGAACGTCCAGTGCTTATGAGAGTATTCACCAGACCTGTCTAACTTAAATCAGACAAAAGCCCAGCATGGAGAAAGGAGATTGAGACGAGATATTAAACCTAACTGAGAGAGAGAGCGCTATTTTTTGAATTGAGCTATATATTTTTCTCTGCTACCCTTCCTTCATCTCCTCTTCCCTTCGACCATTTCCCATGACTCTCAGGCTCCTAATTTACTCAGGAGATCTTGTCTTTTTCCCCTTCATATGTGGATCCACATATGTCTTTCTTAGGGTCCTTTTTGTTGTGTCGGTTCTCTGGGGTTCTGAACTGTAGGCTGTTTTTTTTATATCTAAAAGTCACTTATAAGTGAGTACATATTATATTTATCTTTCTGGGTCTGGTTTTCCTTACTACTGGTAGATGGAATACACTCCAGTGTGTGACAATAGCCAGCCAAGAATATATAGATACACTAATTAGACAAAAATTACTCTTTAAATCAAGTAAGCTGGGTATGGGATAGGTACAGATAACAAAGGAACTGAAGAAATAGAAAGAGGTAAAATTGATCAAAATTTAAAAGGCTATTTCTAGACGTATTTTAGTCTATTGTACTTAGATTATGTGAGAAACTGATTTTTAACAATTGTTTTCTGTGTGATTGTAAGATAAGGTGTGCCAGATGTTATATGTTGAGTTTTATATGTAGAAATATTGAAAACTTATAACATTTCGTATTAAAATTGTAACATTGTAAAGACAATCAATTTTAATGTAGTTTTGCATTTAAAATACAGAGGAAATGCTGGTCAAATACAGTAAAGAATCTAGAAAGCTGCTTTTGGAAAATAATAAGCAATAAATAAGTGGAGAAAGGACAGTTTATTCAAGCATATTTTACCAATAATAGTCACTTTAATGAGACAAATTTCATACTCATTTTAAAGTAAATCCCATTTTACATTTTAAAAATATGGAAAAATCAGTTAACAGGCTAAAAGGGAAAGAAGTAAACTGCTAAAAGAGAAAAAGGATACAATCTTGTGGTTTTAAGTCTGGAAAAGACTTCCCAGACAAAAATATCTAAAAATTTGAATTGCATTAAAAGTGTTTAAAGGAAACTGAAATAAGTTGTACAAGTTTGCCCTCCATCAACAATGGATGGCTATTCCCTTACTCCACATCCTCACCTGTGTGAGCTGTCACCTGTTTTACTGATCTTAGCTGGTCAGACAGGTTTAAGATGAATTCTCAAAATAGTTTTGATTTGCATTTTATGATACCTAAGGATGTTGAACATTTAAGTGTGTCACAGCCAATTAAATTTCCTCTTTGAGAATGCTCTGCTTAGATCTTTAGCCAAATTTCAATTGGGTTATTTGTTTTATCGCTTATCTAGTTTTTTGAGTTCTTTATATATTTTGGATATTAGCCCTGTATCAGAAGAACAGTAGGTAAAATTCTTTCCACATAGTGTAGATGACTACTTTGACTGAATGTTTGTATCCTTTTCAAAAGAAATTTTTATTATTCTTACACTGGAAAAATTAAACTCACGTGTTATTTTCATAGAAAAACAGAGTAAAGCCTATTATAAATGAAAATACGTAATCACAGGTTAGGTAACAACACGTAAATGCTCAGATGTACTACTATAGCTGTTGCTTGTTTCCAGTTGCTTGGTGTCTCTATTTTAAAAACTCCACTGTTGAAAGCACTGAATTAATTCTGTGGGTCGCCACTTCCTTCTTCATTATTCGGGTTTGGATGAAGAAGGAATATTTTCTTTTTTTTCAACCTTGATGACCTTGAACAACAAAGTGAGAGATACTATCAGATTCTAGCAATTTGAGCTAAAGCACTGTTTATATATTCTCCAGTCCACCCATTCTTGTCTATTGGCCTCAATAGCCTTATATGACCTTTGGCCCTCTCAAAGGCTGTTGATCTTCTCTGCTACATCTTCTTCAGTGTATTGTCTTATTTTGAGCCACCTCTTTCCAACTATGTGGTCCTTGAAGAGAAGGCTCCTCGTGCTCAACATGACTTTATTCAAGTAGGCTGGATATTTTCATGTGTAGTGAAATTAATACTGATGATCCATGCTTTGGTATATTTTCATGACATTTCTATTTCCTAGACTGCTCTCTCTAGTGTATATATCCAATTAAGAAAATAGTATACTCACTTCTTAAGATGTGCTAAACACTGTGTGAACTAACAAATATATAGGAATTTCTTCCCTTAAAGTTCAGAATAAGAGTTAAACTTTTCCGCGAAACCAACCACCTCCTAATTGTTGAAGTTGCCATTCAAATCACATCTGACTTATTCAAAACTCTTGCTCTTGATCACTATTCAAATGTACTTCCATGTCATTTCAATTTCTTCATACATCTTGCTATTTACCATACATGCAATAATCTTTGGATCATTACTTCAATATAAATTTTTGAAAATTTCCCTATAGAAACGAGTGTAAGGATATCATTTCAATTCTCCCCTCCAGAGACAGAATTATCTATGCAACACATTAAAATGTTCATGTTTGGGATCCTAAAGAAAACGTGAATTTCTGCTTTGGTAAATCTGTTCCCTCTCTACTTTGTACCTTAATGAAACTGTGAATTCCAGACACCAGCTTTGCGTGATTATTAGTTCTTGTCAGTTCAAAGTCGAAGAGCTGTAGTTTGTCTCCTTTCTCACAGTTGATGTTGAAGCATCTCCCTCTCCCTACAACTTCTATAATTTCATCTTCATCGCCCTCGTCCATCATTTCATAGATTGTGTTTTTTGAGTACACCTTTTTCTGCAAAAGTAAAATTAACATTCTGTTTCTGGAAGTTATCTCATTTTGGTATACACTCAAAACAGTCTTTTCTCTTTCAAAAATCACTGGGAAATATTGAACCTGTTACAGACATGGGCATACAGGCATCTTTGTTAAAGTCTTCCCAAAGAATTATCTTTTATTACTACAATTATTTACTTTCCTTATCTAGAAGATTTCTGCCTGGAAGTTTTACGAAAATAAATGTTCTTCCTGTTTTCTACTACTCTCTATTCCTAACAGTCTGGATTCTCCAAAAATCATCTTGATAAATCTCAGAAATCAGAACTTCAGTCAACCATCAATGTATCCTCTTCTTATAAAAGGATGAACGGACATTTTCTTCTACCATTCATTCATTCAATAGATTATAGGGATTTTCCAGAACAGGTAAGATTCCAGTAGTTCACTCATATTGACCTTATACATTTTCTTACCTTTTCCCATTATCATGTCTAAGAAAGTCAAAGTCCCCAAATCATACAGTATTGACTTTCACAGTCACTGTATTGTGTTTATAAGCATTGTCGCTAAGGAGTGTGCTATAAAGTAACGGCTCTAAAATATAAAAGAGCTTTTAAAAGATGATGAACTAAAGAGCCTTAAAAGTGGCAAATTTATAAAACATTTATTGAGTTCACCAAGACTGTCATTTTTTTAAAAACTCAATACTCGTAATTTGGGGATTGATGCACCAATGAAATATCTATATATATTTTCATTTGTAAAAAAGAAAACTAGATTTACTTACTCTCTAAAGGTTATTTCATAAGTAGTTCTTTGTTACTAAGGTCTTCAGAAATAATTAACTAACTGAATAAGATATGAGTCAACACTAAATGGTTAAACCTTCTATCTGCAGAGTGAATAAATCCATTCTTTTGAATGATTTTGAATTTGTGAGGATGTCACTCATCCATTTATTGCTTCAAATATATGTCACAATCAACATTCACCCCTTTTCAGGGAATCTGTAGAAACAGGATGTATAGAAAAAAAATAACGAGCATTGTATAGTTATAGTATATCTAAAAAATTTGAGATTGTTGACATGACCCTGACCTGTGACCTGCACCATTCCTTTTCATTGATTTTTAACTAGCAAAATAAAGTTTCTTGGTAAGTCATTTTCTGGTGCTCTTTCAGAGACATCCTAAGAATTATGAATAAGTCACCCACTCTTATTTTCTCATATGTGGAATGATTTCACCTTCCACCCATAGTCAAGAATCTTGTGCTTCAACATTATCATTTAAACTGTGACTGGAAAGTTACCATATTTGATTCAAGGTGTTATAAAAGAAAATTTTTTTTAAAAAAGCAAGTTTTAAGTATTACCTTGTTCAATGTAAGCGTCCCATAAAATGGTGCTCTACATACAATCTTGTTAATATCAGAAATCATGAGAGTTTCCTCTGCTGTTCTGTTGGGAACTACGATCACTCCATTGTAACCAACTTTAGTCACAGAGGAATTTCTATTTATCACCAGGATTCCTTTGAACTGGACATAATTGGCAATGTTGATGACATTCCTTATTTTGAACTTCTCTTTCAGTTTGAGGCTGAAAACTTTTACGTTGAAATATTTGTTCGCAGTCGCCACTTTAGCATGAAACATAGACTTTATTTCATGTTCTTTTGACTCATATTCAATTTGCTCTGATACATCCAGCACTGTCACGGTCATGGCCTCATTTTGGGCAACAGCTCCTCTGGTAGTGCTCTGGCTTGGGGTCTGTGTCTTTTGGTTCTGGGTTAAACAAACACAGGGATATAAACTTGCAAGTTTAGCAACAAATAAAAATTAACCTTCATATGAGATAAATCTCAATCTCCATATTTGTCCTAAAGATTTGTATGTATTTATAGAACTACAGATAAGGTAAAGAGAAATTCTTTCATTGGAAAAAAGTAATGAGTTAAAGCAATGGGCTTCAGCCACAGAAGTTTGAACACTCTCCCTGAAAATCAGAGGAATCTTTTTATTGTGGACAAGATGTTCAACATGAGTACAGCAGAGACTGTTAAGAGCAATTGTCTGAAGTACTTAAGTGAAATTGTAATTAATTTAAATATATCCTTTTCTCTTTTGACAGCAGAATATAAAATGGGGAAATTAAATATTGTTGGAGTAGAGAAAAGTATATATAAAACATACAACTGAAGTTTGTTAAGTTATTATGTGGGTACAAATCAAAGTATGTCTCCTCTGAAGATACCAACCTGTTCCTATTAAATAATCAAAACCAACATGAGCTGGCTCACAACTACCTCTTTCAAACAGGCTCAGGTAGAGGTCCTTTGGTTAGAGTCATGTTCTTAATGTTTAGAGATTTTTTCTCAATATCAGTGTTTATAATACAGAGATATATTGATAGACCTCTAATCTCTTTTCTGTACAGTGTTCTGAGATCACAGAGTAATACAGAGTTTTTCAATGAATCGAAGGTTGCCTAACTGTAAGACAGAATATGCAAAGTAAGGAAAAGCTATAAGCTTGGATACCTGCATACAAGGAGATAGAGTTGTCTTCATAGACCCAAGGAAATGCAAATAATCCAAGCAACATGTAACACACAGTCATTAACTATTAGTTATTAGCATTCACTTGGATCTGATTTTTCCATCAGTATAACCAACTAGTATAACATAAAAATCAAAAAGTGATATAGTTAGTGGTAGTGATGTGTAAATAAGTAAGCAAGCAGCAATGACTAGATTTAAATTAATTAGAAAGTTTTAGGATATGTATAAAATAAATTAGTGGGCTATTATGAATACCACCAAATAATTCATAATGCACACAATTTCCAGTGTAAACATTAAAAGTGGGACTGTGGTTGTGGTGATAGATAATAAATCCTTTATTTTCTTCCTCCCTCCCTCCCTCCTTCCTTCCCTCCCTCCCTCCCTACCTCCCTTCCTTCCTTCTTTCCTTTCTCCCTCTCTTCCTTTCTTTCTTCCTTCTCTCCTCCTTTCCTTCCTCCCTCCCTCCCTCCATCCCTAACTTCCTTTCTTCCTTCCTTCCTCCTTTTCTCCCTCCCTTATTATCTTCCTTCATTCCTTCCTTCCTTCCTCCCTTCCTTCTTTCCTTCCTTTCTTCCTTCCTTCTTTTTTCCTTCCTACCTCCCATCGTTTCTTTTGGAGCCAGGATCTCATTATTTTTCTTGGAATGTACAATGTAAACTAGGCTTGTCTACAACCCACAGAGGCCTACTTGTCTTTGTCCCCTTAACGCAAGGATTACAGTTGTGAACTACCACAGCTGTCTTTCTTGCACTATTTCTGAATTTTAGGAGAGCAATTTAAAATGGAGGGGGTCCCACAGAGCTGAGAAAAAAATTATTACACCAATCACAAAAAAAGCCTAGATGACAGTCAATATTCGGAGGTACCTATGAACCGGTAGCTTGCTGGACTATCATGTACAAAACCCAATTAGGACTCATGTCAATACCTATTTAAGTTAAAATCTTTATAGGGATCAAAACTCAGCTTAAATAAACTTTCTGCAAGAGAAATATCAATAGTCTTCAATACACTTCTTATAAATTTATACAAGATATACAAATTTATTCTAAATTTTGTCTTAAAAGTAAAGGTAAGCTGCCATGGAACATTTCAATATAAGTGTGATGTTCAGGATTGCTGACTGCCTTGCATGTTTATGATCAAGCAGGGAACCAGTCTTCTAAATTTAAAGCCTCTTAGAAAATTGTTTTATAAAGCTGGGATCATTCAAAGGAAAATTATTATTAAATAAGATTGTGTTTTTTCCAGACTTATGAATGTTTCTAATTACATTACTATTATTATTTATGAACACAAATAATTAGATGTGTCTAAGGACCTCATGCTCCACATGATGCTGCTCTGATATACCACATCCAGTGTTCTGATGAAATGACACAATGCAGTAGAGGAGTAGATTTATATAAATTGCAGGCAGTATCTGAAAACTTACACTCAATAAATGAATGAACACATGATATAAATAAATTTGTGGGAAGTGAAAGAACTTCTTGCAAGGTTATAAGCCCTGTGATTATATCATGAAGATATCATAAAGGAAACAGGAAATGATAACACTTGATGAGAATAGCTAGTAGAGTTTGGTGCATTCCAGAAAAGAATCTGGAGTTGACTCACAGTGAGGCCTGGAGCTGGAGTAGGGAGACTCTCAGCAAGGTCTAGGGAATGGCTGGGAGCAGTCTGATGTTGATCATCAGCAGGAGGTGTGCTCGAAGGTGATTCTATGTTAAGCTGGGACATAGTCTCAGGTAGTGTGTCTTCTGTAGCAGCAGATGTTTTGCATGACTTCTTCTGTTTATAAAGGAAAAATAAAAAGATTGTTCTCCTTTATACCTCAATAATAATTTTCAAAGTCACAAAGAATACAGGAACTTTTTCTCTTTAGTTCTATTCACAGGTTTTTGCTCTCTAATTTTCCCTGAAATGATAACACATTCACATCCACAGAAACCTTCAGCATCTCTTTCAGCTATCCTAACAATGATGATGAGCCCCAATCTGTAAGTATGTTTTATATACTTTACTCGTCATTCTCTGCCATGAAGTCTCCTTTGTGCCCTCCCACCCGTTCTTGCAGGTTTGCTGTCTTCTCTCCAAGATTGTCCCTGCCCTGCTTTCTTGTCACGTGTATTTCTCCATCATTACCATTTCTCCCTTCTCTTAAAACTTATGCCTTCCTTCTCATGTTCTCTTTTCTAGCTTTATGGTCTACACACACAAACACATGCACACACTCACGCGCGCGTGTGTACATATGTGTGCACTCACATGCACGTGCAACATGCACACACACAAATGCACATACACACGAACAGGGACACATACACGCACACATGCATGAATGCACGCATGCGCACACACACTCCACATTGCTCTGTGTTGTACAACTCTTAATTGTATTTGGTTTTGTATCTAACTTTTTTTGACTAAGATAAGGTATTCAATTTTTTTTCTTTGTCTTTAAGTTCTGAAATCCTCTCTTCCATATCTTTTAATTTGTTGGTGAGACTTACATCTGAGGTTTTTGTAGACTTCCTGAGTATTTTATTTCCAGTTTTATTTATGTTTAGGTTTTTTAATGGTTCAATATCTTTGTTAAATTCTACTTTTGGATCTTGAATTGCTTTCATTATTTCATTCAACTGTTTATATTTTCACAGTCTTTATGAAGAATTTTTTCATAGCCTCAGACATATTTAAAATTGCTTTTTAAAGCTTTTGCCTCATGCTTTGACTAAATTGCTTTTCTTGTGGCCTGTTACAGTGGTATTACTGTGTTCAGAAGAGTTATATTCTCCTGGTTGTTCACATTTGTGGTTTTGTGTTGGAATCTAGATGCCTGGAATCACAACATTTGAAGAGTTTGTGGACCAGCTCTCAATCCATTTGAAGTTAATCTGCTAGTTTCCACAAGAGAAAAGAAATTAATACTCCTTCCTAGTTGCATATGTACAGCAATGACCAGCACAGGAAAATATTCCTAATGGGGCAATGGTGGCACTTGTATTTTGGGAGTAACCAACAATTGTCCAATTGGACGTAAGGCCCTCTCAATAGGAGGGAAATCATATCCAGTACTGAAAACCTAGCCAGCTACTGGATGGTGAGCTCATGGTCCCTAGATGAAAAACAACTATTGTATTTTCTTGGACCAGTATAATTTCCAACTGTATTTCATTCTGAATATCCATTCTTAATCCTAAGTTAAGTGAAGCTCTCATCATTCTTCAAAGAAGCTACTTTTTTTTTTTGCAGTAGATGAAAGCATTGCTTAAATCCATAACTGAAAAAGATCAAGAGGACAACACTGTGGAGTGTTCATTCCTAATTGTTGCATCTCTAATACAATCTCTGAGTCGAGGCTCAGCGAAAACAGTGGAAGAAAGAATGTAAGAGCCAGATGATCACACTGTTTAGTGCAAGCCAGCGTCTTCTTTATATGGCACATGGGCATATCATGAAAATTTAATAACATGGCTTCCTAAAAATTATTCATAATGGCAACATTGGTTTACATTACAGTCTGAATGGAGGAACTCTCACACACCTTCCCCCCAATGAAGAGCTACATGCATTAAGTATGTTATTACAAAAGGCAGAATGGAGGTGGGCAGTGGTGGCTCACACTTTTAATCCCAGTACTTGGGAGTCAAAGGCAGGCAGATCTCTGTGAGTTTGAGGCAAAACTTGTCCGCAAAGTTAGTTCCAGGACAACTAGGTTTGTTACAAAGAGAAACCCTGTCTCAAAGAAAAACAAAACAAACATAAAACAAAATAAAAGAAAGGTAGCATCAATCTTCTCCAGTGTTGAACCAAAGCTTCTAACAATTATCAGATCCCAAATGTCAGCTCTGATCACATACACATACAAACGATGCCCAAACACATGCATGTACATAAATATATGCTTTTATGCATTAATAATTAAATAAATTATGAAATTGAAAAGGGTTGTCGGGGAGACTAGAGCAGTTAAGGGGTAGAAATAATGGAAAAATTGTCAGAAAATATAAAATATAATGTATTAAATTCTTTTTGGTTTTCCAAGACTGGGTTTCTCTGTAGCCTAGGAGAGTTTAGTTTTTAATGAGTTAATTAAAATATTATTTACCAAAATATTGAAAACCCTGATGACAGAGATAAGAAAAGAACATATTGCAGTATGGTTGAGGGAAACATGAGAAAGGACATAAGGATAAGTAGTTTTTATTGTCTCAAAATGTAGGATAGATATATTAAAGTGAAGTGATACCAACAGAGTCAAGAAAAATGTTCTCTATTAGCTTGTTCATAAATGACCCAGCTAGTCAAGTGTTAGCAGTCAAATTTTAGTTAAGCCATGCACCTAAATATTGTAACAAAACATTTACGCATGTAGTGGAACAATTAAAAACAAATTGCTCTGTATAATACATGAAGAAAATAATTATATATGTGCGTATATATGTGTTTGTGTGTAGCTTTAAATAACTTAACACTACAAACTACTGTTGCAGAACATAATTTTCTTTTCCTAGAAAGGGATAGCAGCTTTAATAAGGAATTTATCTTATATTACAATTGCACCATATTTTCTTACAGTAGTTTTGTTCAAGACTCTATAAGTAGTATCATGGAATGTTTTGTTCCACATGCACATGCATTTATCCATGTATATACATCGTATACATTCCTGTGTGTGAGAGAGTACACATACCTGTGAATTTGGAAACAAAAATGCCTTTCTCTGAATTTTATAGTAGATTCAGAAGTATTTGGCACTTACTACAAGGTGAAAATATCTGAAAATACTTAGAAATTTGGTCTATTTAACTGATAAACTTAGCAATATTGTTCTAATATGGGTAGAGTTCTCAAATCAACATTTAAAATGTTAAGTTTGACTGGGCGGTCGTGGTGCATGCCTTTAATCTCTGTACTCGGGAGGCACAAACAGGCAGATCTTTGTGAGTTCGAGGCCAGCATGGTCTACAAGAGATAGTTCTAGGATGACCAGGGCTGTTACACAGAGAAACTCTTTTTTGAAAAACAAAAAGCAAACAAGCAAGAAGGAAAAAAAAATAGCCCAACAACAACAAAAAGATGTTAAGTTCAAGTATACCAAAGACTTATACCGGGGTTTACCAAGACTATTTAAAATACTTTAAAAATAATCAATATAAATGAATTTCAATTTAAATCTCCCTTTTGTTGCCTCCATATTTCACCAGAAAAAAAGTAAACAGAAATAAGTCAAGCAACCAAAACAATAACTTTTCAGCAAGAAGGAACTCTTACAGTAAGCGGAACACTGCTGTTTTAACTGGCGTAGAAGGGAATGGAGGAGGATGTTAAATATGCACATGAGATAATTAAGACAACATGTGTTTGTGGATCTGAGAAATTTTCTATTGCGCACGTTCTTGAGCACTCGCAATGTTAACATGGCAATAACACTAGACAACACAGTCTAAAATCCACCACGCTTACTCACTTAATGCCGTTTCCTGGAAGCTCATTCATGTCACTTCCTTTTCTTTTGTCCAGTCACTCACCACAATCACCAGGATCCCCTGCATTCCTCAGACAGAATAACCAGGCTTCTCTCCTACTTATTTAGACTTAAACATAGAAAGTTTACTTTATAATTTGCAAGAGTCAAAACAAATTTTTCTCTGCTCAGGCTTCAAGGATAGATTCATAAATATGTCCATCATCTTCTTGAGTTGAGAGTTTACTGCTGTGAGAACCACTGGTACCAGCTATCCCTCTATCCCACATACAAGAACCAACACCGAGCTTCTGTTCCTGTGGGTTTCACAGAGCTACCTGCTCCCTATAGAACAGGGCAAGACTCACCATGCTGGCAATTTCTTTAGTGATGTCCAGATCCTCGATCCTCAGAAAGGCAGAAACAGAACTTGTTTGTTTTAAGTATAAAGATAAATGAATAAATCTCTCAGAAACTAGGCAGAAGGGTGGTGTATTAATGTCCGATGCCCAGAATATTAAGATTTTACTAAACTAATAAGGAAAGGGCACTGGTTAAATACCCCTCTCCATGTGAGCTGTTTGGGTGTGTCTGAGTGATCACTTCCAGTAAGCAGTTGTCAAGTAATCAGTGAGGACTCACCCCCATCAGCATTCTCAGGTTTCAACTTGGTAAGTAAGAAATTCCCATAGACACAAGGAAATGTGGCTATACTTAGAGGCTGTTCTGAAAAAAACGTAAAAGGTACAAGTTCAGACTTGGGCATTTTCTCATCTAAAAGGCCTATATTTAGTTCCCTAGGAGTCTATGTTCCACTAAAGTTATACAACATCCCATGAGAAAATGATAAGTCACTCATCCACACCTCCCTTTCAGGTTAAGGATCCTAAGAGATGGTAGAAAGAAAGCTCATCAGATACCTGTTACCACTAGTATTTTAATGGACATACTGGAAAGAGGACAATCTTTTATTTTATTTTATTTTTATTCATTCATGTATTTATTTATTTATTAAAATTTTCCACCTCATCCCAACCTCCCATTTCCCTCCCACTCTCTGCACTTTCCCTCCCCCTCCCTCTCCAGTCCTAAGAGCAGTCAGGGTTCCTTGACCCATGGAAAGTCCAAAGTCCTCTCCCCTCCATCCAGTTCTAGGAAGGTGAGCATCCAAACAAACCAGGCTCCCACAAAGCCAGTCCGTGCAGTAGAATCAAAACCCAGTGTGCCATTGTCATTGGCTTCTCAGTTAGCCCTCATTGACAGCCACATTCACAGAGTCTGGTTTGATCACATGCTCCATCAGTCCC